ACAGAGTAATACCACCAAAATGTCCCCACCAAGCCAAACTGCGCCCAGGCGCATAAAATTTCGATAACCCTACAAAGACCGCCTTACCTTTGAAAGTTGCATCGTTGGTCTTCACTGTGGACCAAAACCCGTCCACGTATTGGATTGCACCAGCGAGGTCATAGCCTGAACAACATCGACTTTGTTAGACAAGAAACTTTTATTGATCAGTGTACGAATATCGATTACCGCTAACGGCGATGAGTGATTTCCATACGAAGCGAGGCATGTAGAATAGAAAGGCTTGAAGGGCAAGGATATATGGCACCTGTAAACAAATGGAACTAGTGTGATTCTGAAAGCTGAACAAAGTTCGGGCGCAATTCGGCTTGGAGGGGCATTTTGCACATTCGCTAGTTTTTATTGCTAGTTCCTGGTGAATCTCATCTTGGTGAAACCTGAAGACTTTCTTGAAGGGTACACCTAGCTCCACAGGGATTTGCAGGTCTCCACAGAAAGCATCGGCAGTGATCGATGTGAAGTAGCAAAATGCCCCCCCCCAAAGCGAGTCCAGAAGCCCAAATTCCTGTCATAAAAAGAGAAAATGTGGAGGAACGGTAATGAGTCCCTAGTTTTTGAATATCTGAGGCGTCCTCACTGCAACTGCTAAACACGTTGGTGGAGCTTATAGTGCTTTTCAGAAGGGTTTGGGCGTGGCTACTGAGATCTCTTTTCAGCACGCTTCTTCTCCTCCTCCCCCCCCCCCCCTGATGGCTCGAGTGAGGTGGCTCCTACCTGTGGGCTCAACTTGGCCCGTAAAGCTGGGATAGAGCTCTTCTTAGGGCTACTTGAACAAAAGTCGCCTTACATCGAAAGCGCAGTGCACGCTATTGGTGGGTGGAGACATTGACCATTGGACCCCCCGCCCTCCTCTCTTTGCTCGCGCTCTCCTCCTATTTGTGGTGCGCAAGAGCAAGCCATCAACGAGCAAGGCTTGCCGGTTGGATCCTCCGCCCTCAGTATGACCAACGTGGAACGTGCCTTGAACACGCTTAGCCATGCCGCATTAAAAGAACCGTACGCGCGCGTCAGCGTCGCGGCACGAGGCAGTTCAAAACGTCTAGCAACACGGCAGTCACAGAAATAGGGCATAGCTGATAAATCTGATAATCATCTATAAAAACAAGACTGATGCGCTACATATATTTCGCATCGCTCATGCTACATGTATATATGCATATACATTGGTTCCTTGAACAAGAGCCATGTATGTGCTGTGTTGCCAGAGAAGGAAGGTTCACCGAATTGAGCTATGAAAGGCAGCGTTCAGACTTCGCGACGGCAGCGCTCCAATCGCGCGATTTGACGATCGATGCGCATGCTTTCGACTGCATCGATCGCGTCGAACGCGCGACCGAAGCGCTGCCGTCGCGAAGTCTGAACGCTGCCAAAGATTTGCAACTGACCCATTGGTAGTAGTTGATGGGGATCCTTCGTCGTTCAGTTTCGTTGTAGGGAAGCGATTCGTTCAGCGAAACGAAATATGTCCCATGAACATAGCAGTATTGATTCACAAAGTCTGACCTGAAAATCGATGCTGTTAGTCAAAACGGTCAGCTTTTGCACGACAGAGCTCTTGAAGTAACCAGTAATGACAAAAGTTGACGCGAGCGTTCGCGATGCGGCGAAGGAACAGGGCAAGAGCATCGCGAGCGCACGCGTCACGTTCAAAATTGTTGCGCCTGGCTGAGGGGATGTGTCAGCAGAGTGTGCTGTGTTTCACCGCAGCGCCAGCCCCTTTCCCACCACTCACTGAATACTGGATCGCTGGGCCTCAATTTGGGACATAGTGCAGTCATTATCGTTGAAGTATGTTGAGGATGTGTTAACAGAGTGTGCCATGTTCCACCGCAGCGCCAGTCCCTTCCCTCCATCACTGAATTGAAAACGCATTGTGATAAAGGTAGTGGGCATGGGAACATCTTGGTCCTCTTCGGCAGAAGGACTAAAGAAGAAACGCGCCATTCAAAAAAGGCACTGATACTCATCTAAAAAACTAGTCAGGAAAGAAATACATTTGATTTGATGACTTAAAGGCAGTTGGCACGATAATTTGCTACTCGGCCTGAAATGCTAGCAGGGCGCTGTATAGTGGGAAAATGGCGAAAGAGTGAAACGGTCAAAAACCTGCGAAGAAAAGCCTTCATTCTTAATGACTCGAAAGCAATTTCGGACGAGTTTTTCCGTAGGCATCCTGCCAATAACCGCTACGGTAGATACGGCTGCATGTACAGGGGGGCCAAAAAAGTCACTTCGACCGAGTCACATATCAGCAAAGTTTTCGCTGCCCAGACAGAGGACGTGGATACGAGTACCAGGGCGGAAGATACCCAAGATGTTCCTCTATAAGCAGGAGCTGGCTCTCGCCCATCACCTTCATGTACACCAAAATATGAAGTCATCTCCAGTCGCAGCCTGACTTTGGAATTCATG